AGTCCAGGGTTGCCAACTCTCACGCATCGGGCGTGTGGCACACGCTTTCACTCTCAGTCTCACGTTCTCACGCTGCCCAAACTATTCTCACGCCAAAAACAAGATGAACCGGCGATCGTTTTTGGTTGGTTATTTACAATGTTGAGTTGACAGCTGCTCCAGCTGTCGACCCGCTCCCTCCCCGCCCCCACCACTCTTAACAACGTTAACAGACAGCTGAGCAGTGGGAGCCGGTATTGCACATGCGCAGATCTAAGATCCAGCAGAAATGATACAAAAGTAAAAGTCTGCTGATTATTGTTCTACTAGGCCAACATAGAGTCAAAGACTATATGAGAATTGTAGTATCAGGCATAATAGGAGAGTGTGTTAATTAATATATGTGGCAGGTTGGAGTAAGTCTGTAGATGTGTGTGTTTGTGTGTGTGTTTCATGTATAGGCCTCTCAAGATAATTAATTTTGTTGGATACATTTTCACGGAAATGATTGCGATAAACGATAATATTGTCGGCACGGTTGTATGACCATTTTAGACCACTGACATAATGATAATATATAATAATAATTCAAGTACATCCTTTCAAACTGCTAGTCACATCCTCATGGAAATGGCAATTTATCGAGTTCATTTTTATTTATCGTACGATAAGTCAATTAATTGCACAGGCACACAATAAAACAGTGGAAACAAACATGTGTTTGACTTTCATTACTGAATGAAACTTTGTGCCCTTTATAGTCTGTGTCCAATATTGTGTATTTGTATATATTGTATATGCTAAGGTCCCGCTACTGACACGATAGCAGTCATTAAGTGCGCATATGTGTAATTAAACCCATGATATCAAAATCTCACTCCAGCCAGGTACCCAAAGTTGGCAACCCTGTCCTAATGTTCATACATTTGTAACACTGTACACCAAAACAATCTCACTCCAAGCTGAACCCAAAGGTTGGCAGCCCTAAAGTAAATAGAAAACGTAAATTAGCTGACTAGTAAGATAGATAGCAAACATCAGCTAGCTTGTGAAGTAGATAGCTAATGTTAGCAAGTTAGCTTGTTTGCTAATGCTCGCTAGCTAAATATCCCAATTACACATTGGTATTGCAATTACACTGCTTATGATAACTATAAACAATTTTGTGCATTATACACTTGTGTACAGTTGATTGTTGCTTGTGAATGCCACTTCACCAATATGTAATGACTACGTACTTTTATAATGCTACAACTTACTTTAATTTAATATTTTCGCATTTTATGTATTTGACTTTTTATCTACAGTGTCTCCTGCTGTTCCAATTTGATTTTGCTGTGGGAGGAATAACATATAGTTTACTCTGAGTCTGAAAATGTTTAAATTCAGGTTTGAAGGGCTGTATTGCTGTCTGAAATAAACGTAAATAATTTCAGATCTACAATATCTTTTGAAAAAACATCACATTTGATCACAACATAAATCGTAAATAGAGGAATTTGAAGCCATTTCCAGACCTGTCGCTATGACTAGAGACACTGCACTTTAAATTGGATCTACATTGAGGTGTTTAAATAGCATGAATCTTTACAGATGGAGCGAGGTGATAAAAGGAGACATGAAGTGGGACGATTAGAGGCTTTGTCGTGTCTTCTGGGAGTCCAGATGAATCATCCTTTATTGAGAAGGCAAAAGGCGGCAGGTTAATAAGGAAGAGGGCGAGACGCAGGAGGTCAATATCACAAAGAAGAACAGCCGCCGTCTCTTCGTCAGAGGCTGAAACCTGAGCAGTGAAGCAGTTCAAGTTCAACACCCTCGAGACGACGACTTCATCGACTGAGCGGAAACCTGTGATCTGCTTTAAATGCATCATGTTCTTTTGGTTACATGTTTTCTTCTTTGTCACTGTTGCTTGTTGTGGAAATGTTGAACAGAAAATAATAGCATTATGCAGAGGTGGGAAGTAACTAAGTACATTTACTCAAGTACTGTCCTTAAGTACAATTTTGAGATACACTTTTGAGATAGTTGTACTTTACTTGAGTATTTCCATTTTATGTAACTGTGTACTTCTACTCCACTAATCAGAGGTAAATGGTGTACTTTTACTCTTAAATCAGACTTTAGTTCCACCTGGAGTAAATCCACAAGCTACCCTGCAGAATACAAAGTCATTCAAACTAGCTGCACCTTTACCAGCTTTGAGAACACTTTCATGATCAATCATTATAAAACATATCATATATATTATTCTGAAATGGACCAATCTGCACAACAACTACTTTTACTGTCGCTGCTTTCACTATATTTTGATGAGAATACTTTTCTACTTTTACTTGAGGAACATTTCGAATGCAGGACTTTTACTGTAACAGAGTATTCCTACACTCTGGTACTTCTACTTTTACTCAAGTACAAGATCTGATTACTTCTACTTTTACTCAAGTACAAGATCTGAGTGCTTCTACTTTTACTCAAGTACAAGCTCTGAGTACTTCTACTTTTACTCAAGTACAAGACCTGAGTACTTCTACTTTTACTCAAGTACAAGACCTGAGTACTTATTCCACCTCTGGTAGTGTATTAGTCTGAATTGTAGCCACAAAATCACGCAGAGCTGCATAAAAATAGACTCACAATGGTAACAAGTGGAAAATAATATTTACAAATGTGTACAATGACTTGTAGGTAATGCTGACTACTCAAGACACCTGACTTATACATCTTCAAAGGAAGACTGTGTTCATTCTACAATTACATGAGATTAAAGCAACATGTAGTTTTACTTGAATAATACTTCAATTTTATATAAAAGACAGTTTGTTTTCATCTGTTTTCAAATAAACAAAGTCTTGGCTTTCAGAATATTAAACTTGTTTCGGCAAATTCAGATGATAAATACAACTTTGAAGCTTCGGCATAATTACAAGCAGAGAACGGACTAATGTAACATCACAGCAGGCATAACAACAGCCGGTGTTTCTTGTGAGACACACACACACACACACACGAAAATGTGTCTTCGGGTCAATGTGACTGATTTCGATAGAGCAAGTCACATTTGGTTTAGGCACGAAACATACTACCAGTAGAAATACATTGCTTTCAAAATCGCTCTGTGTCGAATCAATAGATTATATTTCGTGACTATAACACGAAATGCCGTGAGTGCTTCATCCTCTGATGACCACAGGATGGCGACTGAAACGCACATAACATAGGTACGCTCCTCTGAAATGATTGTCCCCTGCAATTATTATTATCCCTCAATCGATTTCGCTATTCAGCTTGCTAACGTTAGCTTAAACAAACGTAACATGCAACGTTAGCCTAATCTAAAATGCTCTTCTACGGCGTACCTTTCATGTGGCTCGTCAGCGCAGACTCTCCCATCGTTATGTTGCAAACTTTGCAGGAGGCTACTCGTGGGCTTGACCCTCGTCTTAGCCATGGCTTGTATTTGTCTTCTGCTAGCCAACGCTCGTTGAAACGGCAATCTCCTGGCACACAGTCATCTATCGCTCTCATCAGAATGCCCAGGTCACACGTAACACAAACACTTGCAGGTCGCGCGCATAGCGCGGGAAGGCCGCAGCGGAGCTGTTTTATGTAGAAGCGAAGCAATTCTTTTCTTTTAATCTAAAAAGCGAACTATTCAGTCAGACAGCAATTTATTGTAAAAGTAAAGCATTTACATTTTCAAGCACTTTCTCAATTTCAAGCACCATTCCCAAAATTCAAGCACTTTCCCAACCTTGAAAACACCATGTCAAATTTCAAGCATTTTCAAGGATTTCAAGCACCCGTACGAACCCTGTATGTTTATCGCCTGCTATTTCTTTAAATATATCAGTGATTAGATTTGGACATGGGTTGTATAAATTGTAGGGCTGTCAAGTTAACGCTTTAATAACGCGTTAATGCAAAAAAAAACTAACACCAATTATTTTAACGTGATTAACGCATGTGTTTTTTGTCCTCTGCCGCACCGTAGTTTCAGAGCGCATCGAGTTTAAAATACCATCTACAAGCTGATGCTGACAGCCCCGCTCCTGTCGCATGCTTGCGGCAGACCACACTTCCACGCTCACCGGCAGGCACCGACTGGCCATCTGGAGGACCGGGAGGGTGTGTGTATGTGTGCCCCGAGCGAGCGAGAGACCTTACGTGCATTGTTGTTGTTAGCATCTGGTGCTAGCTAGCTGCGCTAACGGATATAAGGAGCTGTTTAAATGAAAACAGAGGAGCGACATTTCGCCGACAACTGCGCCGAGCACTTGACTTCATGCTGGTAGCCACACAGTGGGACATTGTACGAAAAGTCAGCACACTCAGCACGGATAGTGCGCACAACATGATTGCAGCGTCCAGGCAGCTCCCGTACGAGCATATGCCTTGAGTTGCACATAGCTCCCACACACACACACACACGAGAGGTTCCAGGTTGAATTGAGGTGGATATTTTTAATGTTCAGCGGTTGTTATGTTTAATATTCATGAGAATATTTGTCATTGATAAAATGATAAACAAACATTTGCATAAAGCATATTTGTCCACTCATATATAAGAGTATTAAAAACTTGAAAAATATCCCTCTCAGGTACATTTAGAACAGATAAAAAATGTGCGATTAAATATTTTAATCGACTGACAGCTGACATGTTTATAATATGCAGCAAAACACAACAGGGTTGCGAGTCTGTTTCTATGGCCATTTTCTTTTTGGTAATCTGATCATTTTAACAAGAGAATAGGATCAAACTGAAATCATAAATATGTTCTAGATACATGAATCATTGGTTCTTTTAGACCAGAACAGACTGCTAACTCAACAGGAACTATCAAAAACATCCCAATCAAAGTTTAAAGTCACAACATTTTATTAAACAAACAAATTATTGGAGAAACTACTCGGCAGATTAATGAACAGTGAAACTCGCTCATGGACTTTGAGGTGAATACTTTAAGAAAACGTTTTCCCACACTCTTAACACCACTATGGTTTTAAGAGTGTGTGAACACGGAGATGTGATTTGAGAGCATCTGATCTAGTGAACGTTTTCCCACACTCTTCACACCAGTACGGCTTTTCTCCAGTATGAATACGGTGATGTGTTTTGAGATCACTTGATGTAGTGAAAGTTGTCCCACACTCTTCACAGCTGTAAGGTTTTTCTCCAGTATGAATACGTTGATGTGATTTGAGAGCACCTGATTGAGTGAAAGTTTTCCCACACTCTTCACAGCAGTAAGGTTTTTCTCCAGTGTGAATACGTTGATGTGATGTGAGAGCACCTGATGTAGTGAACGATTTCCCACATTCTTCACAGCTGTAAGGTTTTTCTCCAGTATGAATACGGCGATGTGATGTGAGAGCACCTGATGTAGTGAAAGTTGTCCCACACTCTTCACAGCTGTAAGGTTTTTCTCCAGTATGAATACGGTGATGTTTTTTTAGAGCACTTGATGTAGTGAACGTTTTCCCACATTCTTCACAGCTGTAAGGTTTTTCTCCTGTATGAATACGTTGATGTGATTTGAGACTACCTAATGTAGTGAAAGTTGTCCCACACTCTTCACACCAGTACGGTTTTTCGCCAGTGTGAATACGTTGATGTGATTTGAGAGCATCTGATCTGGTGAAAGTTGTCCCACACTCTACACAGCTGTACGGTTTTTCTCCAGTATGAATACGTTGATGTGATTTGAGATGACCTGATTGAGTGAACGTTTTCCCACACTCTTCACAGCTATACGGTTTTTCTCTCATGTGAATATGCAGGTGGCTCTTTAAATTTCCAGATGTTGTAAAGGATTTGTCACATTGCTGACAGCTGTGACGTCTCCCTCTTCCTTTCGGTTTCTAGAACAGACAACAAGAAAGTTAATCTAAAAAGCATAGATACACAAGTTAACACAATAAAAACTCCCTTAATATAAACCTTGAGTTAACAAAATACTACTTATCAACGGTTTGTATTTATTATATTTGTATTATATTTGATACAGTGATATTCTAACCAAAGTATATACCAGAGGTGGGGGACTCGAGTCACATGACTTGACTCGCATATTTTTTAATTGAGACTTGCTTGACTAACATTGATAAAAGACTCGACTTGACTTCATATTCATGACTTGAGACTTGACTTAGGCGTGAGACAGATGACTCGAAAGGACTTTACTTTTTAAAATAAAAATATTTGCATTGTACTAAGCCCCTAGAGGGCAAAAAAAAAAAAAATAGAAAGTCTCTCGTTCGCAGGAGAAAGTAGGAAGTGGAGCGCACAGGAGACAGCCGTTTCATTGCAGACTGTTATGTTTATGTGGGGAAATACATACATTATTTGAGATACATTTCAAACTCGGACTTCATTTTAGGGACATTTCAGCCAGGGGTGTAGAGTTATTTGTTCAAGCACCGGATCGGCAAAACATTAGAGTCTGTGAACCAGTCTGCCTCGACCTATGTATTCATGTCTGTGACTCACAGTATCTGCTGCCCACAGCTGTTTTATAGAAGGAAAACCTCCTTCACTTCATGAAATCTCTGCAGCACCAGGAGGCAGTAATGTGTAACTCAGCAGAATCTGAGAAGAGCAGCACCAGCTGCAAAGAGCTGTGCCTTCACTGTGTTTACCTTCATTAGAACAGCTAACGAGCGACCGCAGGCTGCTACGTTTTAACCACACGCACCTCTATACACACTATTACGTTCCCTACTGGGCTAGGGGAACCAAAGCGAAGCAACACAAACCAGAGTGGAATTGGTAAAAGTTATAAGTGGTTTTATTATAACTATTAGTCGTGAAACAAAATAATAAGGCAAGCTTGGCACAAACAAAGGGCCAAATGCTGGTTGACAACCAAAATAAAGAGACTCCAAAAGAGAGTTTAACAGATTATACACGGTAATAATCAGTACAAAAGGCAAACAAAAACCTCACTATAATGTGGTAAATGAACTGAAAAAGGCTGTAACCAAAACACAGCTGATGCTAATCCACAGGCGCTAACCACTAAGCTAACCTGGATACTACTCACACAAAACTGAACACAGAACACTGCTTTAACACGCTGCTACGCAGTACAACAAAACACAGAACATTCAATGGATTAACGAGCATAAGCACAACAGGAGGCTAGAGGCGTCTGTCTCACAACACAGAGCCTCCCGAGTGATAATTGTTCCCAGGCTTTGTAGTCCTCTCCAGCAGGTGTGCGCTGGGCTTGCACAGGGATTGGAGAACGTCGGGCCCGGCGTGCTCCAATCAGTGTCCTCGGAAGTGGACCAGGAGATGACAGCCAATGACGTTGGGGCAACCACACAGCTCATTTACATAATCACACACAGCTGCAGACAATCCCAGACAGGTTACCGAGCAGGCAGAAACAGCAGCCGTAACACACACACACACTGAACTGCCCAATTATTCCCCCTATTACCCGTTTTATGATTTCAGAGCCCCACTCTCCATTGTTGTTAATGTTGAAAATAAAACCCTAGTTTTCATAACCACTGTCTTTTAACTGATTTAAATGTGGAAACTGGGGTTATTCATCACGATTTTGTAGGACTTGTCTTGCTTGACTCTAACCCCAGTAACTTGGGACTTGCACATCTATGACTTACTCCCACCCCTGGTGTACTGGAGACAGAGGGAGACCGCATCCTGTCACTGCGAGTCTCAGTATGCTCCGTTCGTCTTGTTTTTGTGGTCTAATTATTGTCTAAACTTTGTCGTGTCTGTATGAAACGTCATTTTGAGAGACCATGCTTTTGATCCTGTGGATTACATTTGCCTTCTGCAGACCATGTCTGGCCATTCAACTTTCCAAGACACACCTGAGTGACAGCACGAACAGGCGAGGAGCCCCGGCCTCTACGCTGCTACAGCCGCGAGGCTATGCTAGAGCTACAATGCGACCGGCTTCCTACGAATACACCAAGCCACCTGTGCTCTTCAATATTGGATGAAATCCCTCGGGAGCCGCTTAGAAACACCAGGAAAAAGAGACGAGGAAGGAGGGGAGGCGTTCAGAATCGCCTCCAGCAGAGATTCAGCCGGCCACCACTTCCATCCATCATTCTCACAAACCTGTGCTCATTGAGCCACAACGTGGACACACTAAGGACATACACAAGGTACTGTCATGAATTTCTTGAGGCCTCTTTATTATGTTTCACGGAAAGTTGGCTACAATCTACAAAGCCTGAATCTCTTTGAAGTACCCGGACTCACCCTTGTTCGAGCAGACAGTGATGCGAACTCGGGGAAAACCAGAGGAGGCGGTATTTGTGTGTATATTAATTATCTGTGGTGCCGATCATACTCAGTCAAATGTAAAACCTGTGATCCCAACGTAGAAATTCTCGGCAAGACGTTAAGACCCTTTTATCTGCCTAGAGAATTCGGGTGTATTTTACTGTTTGTTGTTTACGTGCCTCCCAGCGGCAGAGGACACTGTGTTCACGAGCTACAACTCAGCCACCGATGCACCGGCAATAGTGCTCTGGGACATGAAGCAATGTCGCCTGGAGACTGTGTTACCTGGATTCCAGCTGTATGTTAGGGATCACAGCAGGGAAGACAATATCCTGGACAAATGCTTTGTTAATGATAAAGGAGCCAATAGAGGTTTCTCAATACTCAAATTTCCCCTCCTCGACTCCTCTCCTCCCCTCCTCAATACTTAGTCCCGCCCAAAGGAGATGGGAGCGGAGGACTGAGGAGGGGAACCGAGGAGAGAGGAGGGGAAGCAGCAGGCGGTTAGAGAAATTAGAAATCCTCTCCTCTGAGCGGTCATTTTAAAAAGACGTCCATTAATGATGACAGGAGGCACAGCAGCCCTCTGTCTGATGGACAGATGTGTTCATGATGACTTATATATATATTAGGGCTGTCAAGTTAAGGCATGTTTTTTGTCCTCGGCCACCCCGTAGTTTCAGAGCGCATCAAGTTTAAAGTACCATCTACAAGCTGATGTTGACAGCCCCGCTCCTGCCGCCCGGCAGACCACACTTCCACGCTCACTGGCAGGCACCGACTGGCCATCGGGAGGACCGGGAGAGACCTTACGTGTATTGTTGTTGTTAGCATCTGGTGCTAGTTAGCTGCGCTAACAGATATGCAGGAAGCCAGACAGTGGGACATTGTACGAAAACACACACACACACACACACACACACACACACACACACACACACACACACACACACACACACACACACACACACACACACACACACACACACACACACACACACACACACACACACACACACACACACACACACACACACACACACACACACACACACACACACACAGGTAAGAGTATTACAACTAAAAAAAGAAAATATTCATCTAAGGTACATTTAGAACAGATAAAAAAATCTGCGATTAATCTCGATTAACTATTTTAATCGACTGACAGACGATATATATATATATATATTTACTTTGATTCATTCACAGTGCGGTATAATGAGACAATAACAGGCTACAGATGCGGACACACACACATTTATATAAATATATACAATTTCAGAATCAAACAAGTATGAGAGCACTCTCATAATAACGAAACACAATCAGAGACTGGATATATCCCCCCCTCTCTCTGGTTGCTGAAATGGGGAATTGAAATTACGGGCCAAAAGTTGTATTTACAAGTAGGCGATTAAAAGAGGACACCAAACCAACTGAGACCCGTCTGTCCGCCGTACGCACTGTACAACACACACACACACACACACTGTACTAGTGTTCATTTCGTCAGCTATTTTTTTAATTTAGTTTTAGTCTTAGTCCTTTGCTAAATTTCCTTTTTAGTTTTAGTCTTATTTAGTCACCTTCATCCTGTTTTTACTTAGTCAAGTTTTAGTCGACTAAAAGTCTGAGCATTTTAGTGTTATTTTAGTCAAAGAAAACTGTTGAGTTTTTTAGTCATCAGATTATATAGAACATTTCAGTCAAACTAGTCTAGCCAAAACCAATAATTTGTCATTTTAGTATATATAAATAAATAAGATTATATCTTGTCCTTATTTGATGAAAAACACAGGTTGAATGATGAAGAAGCTTTGCAGAGAGTATCTGTTCAGGTTTGTGGTGTTTTTACCAGCTGTGTTTTGGCCACATTGCTTCCCTTCTGATGAAACAATGCATTCGCTTTTTTTCTCCGCCTCGTTGGCGAAAATGGGCCCAAATATCACATCGTTTCTTTCTCCCAAGCAGTGGTGACTTTAGACTTTTTCGTTGTCAGTCATTTTGACGGACAGGATCGTAACATTTCCGTCATAATCCATTATTACCCGTGGAGTGCACAATTTATCACTCACTCGCGCTGACGGGGGGGTATTCGGTTAACGCGAGTGCGACCACTGCTCCCAAGCCCTGTTGTTGCCATTTTATTTTCTGTTAAATAAGGTTAGTTAGACCATGAGTTAGACCCGAGTCTTCCTGACAGTTCACAGTGTGCCGCTGCCCGGTGTAATTCAAATGTACCGCCACGCGCAGCACAGACACACAGCTGCTGCCCTGCCGCAGCACCGGAAATGGAACTGCTGGGAGGAAAAACTGCCTATCAGAGATGTAACGTTCTCTTTGATAACATTCCGTCTCCTCATTTTTCGTCAACGAAAGTAAAGAGAGATTTTGGCATAGTTTTTATTTAGTAAACTACATTTTCGTCTCGTCACTTTTCGTCAACGATATTGTTCGTTGCAGTTATTGTTTACTGCCGTCGGTGCCGTCTCATCATCGTCTCGTTTTCGTGGAAATAAAGGTTGTGGACATATTTCATCATTGTTTTAGTCAACGAAATTAACACTACACTGTACCACACACTGTAAAACAC